GTTTGTGTAAACAAAATATGACATTATATATGATGTTACAGTGTTACTACTTAATATGTAGCAGGGTAACACAGTTACTGAGTCTAGATTGATATTTTACTAAATATATGACATTGAGAATGAATATTGATGTTTTTTTTTCAGCTCTGAGCTGAGGTGCCCCGCGTGTTTATAGATACCTGCAGACATTTAATGTTGCAGGACCAGGCCCGGATTGGCTAATCGGGAGCACCGGGAGGATTCCAGGTGGGCCGGTCTGTTTTTTGGCCGCGAGGGCCGCGGTGTTGTCATGCCACTGGGGTTGAAATATGGATGCTGTCCACTGATCTATAATAGATATTATATATAGATCAGTGATGCTGTCCCTAGACTGCCTGCACTCATAGCAACCCCGCTCTTTTTATTTATAATTTTCTCGCAGCCCATATTATTATTTTCACCAGACCATATCAATAACAAATTCTCAAATTACAAATCCAAGCACCAGAAGCAGCCCACACTCTCTATAAGTTTTCTTTAATTGAAAAATATGCATTTTCATTCATTCAAAGGCTATATGGTTGCAATTATTTTTTTAGTTCAAAACTTTAAATGCCATGGTTTAAAATTCTTTATTGACTTACGTTTCATAGACATAGAAGAGGAAAAGATGTTATTGGTTTAATTCTGAATTCACGAGTGCTTTGAAGACGCTGTGTCAATGAAACAGCGGTGCACTGTGTTATCGTGGGCACTTCAAGATAGGTTAATAAATCTAGATACCTTATTATCTGAATTGTTTGGATTTTTAGTAAGCACATTAACTTAACTTCCACTGACCAGTTACATTTTACAACACTGCATGTTTGCTGTGGGTCTGAGCAAAATCAGGGCTGAATAGAAATGCAAGTTCACTCTCTGACAGTAGGTGGCGCTTATGGGACAGAAGGAATACTGTGGTAACCATGGTTACTGCTGTACACAAACTTTCTTTTTCTGACATTTCTGACATTGATGGACAAGAAAGGAAGTCACAACAGTATTTAAATGTTTTCAAACAGATATTCAGTATTGTATTCACTTCGGCGTTTATCAAACAACACCAAATACTTTTGTTTACCCTTGTACATTTTTGGATTTTAATCTGGACTAAAACATGCCAGATTATTTTTCTATTATTAATAATAATAATAATACTAATAATATCCTCTATTGTAATTTTTATAAACCACTGGCAGGTGTTTTTGCTTTATTAAAGCAGCAATCTCACTAAATTTTGATACATTTCTCTGAAAGCGATGGTTGAACTTTTACATTTTTTAAAGTTTACTTGATAAGTAAATATATCCTCATATTAAAGATAATATTAAAGATAATTAAAGATAATTATACTAAGACCATCTGGTAAAACCTTACAGTTAGGTGTCAGTGTAGGATGTATATACTGGTTAGGTTAAATGGTAGGGAGTGGTAGGGAATAAATAGTAATGTGATGTCATACTTTTAAAAAGAGTTTTCAGTGAAGTTTCGAAATTCTTTGGTTGAGGAAACATGACAATATACAGTTAAAATGTTTCACATTTTCGCGCTTGGGCGAGTAATTTGCAGACTGATTTCCTAAATGCACGTGAAATCACCAACATGCCAACAAACCAATGAGAACACAGAACAATAATGACAATTCATAGCAAGAGAGCGCAGACGCCAAAGCTGATGTGGATCCACTCATCTGAATCCCTCTGGAACTGTCTCAGATTTGCAGAAAATTGCAGTTGTTTGGCAAATAAATAATTTACAGACCGTTTCATATGCATTCCCAACATTTTAATTATGCAATTTCAATGTTACACCTCAAATGACAAGGGACTGTTCATATTTAGCCTCAGATGGCTTCAGTATGCATAGTATTTAGATAATATAGCTAATTTAATGCTATAATAAACACAAATGTGACCCTGGACCACAAAATGTATTATATTTGTATATTTGTACAATACATTGTATGGGTCAAAATTATAGATTTTTCTTTTATGCCAAAAATCATTAGGATATTATGTAAAGATCATGTTCCATGAAGATATTTTGTACATTTCCTACTGTAAATATATCAAAACTTAATTTTTGATTAGTAATATGCATTGCTAAGAACTTCATTTGGACAACTTTAAAGTTGATTTTCTTTATATATTAAAATATTTAGATTTTTTTGCACCCTCAGATTCCAGATTTTCAAATAGTCGTATCTCGGTCAAATATTGTCCTATCATAACAAACCATACATCAATGGAAAGCTTATTTATTCAAAAATTTAAAAAAATTGACCCTTATGACTGGTTTTGTGGTCCAGGGTCACATATGTATGTATGAATGTAATAGAGCTTATGATAGATTGTGACCCAGTGACATGAACAGAGACGTGTGCACGCTGGCCTGTTGTAACAACACAGTGGCATGAAATACTTGATTAATTTTATGTAATTGTAAAAAATCATAAAGTTCTCTGTTAGGAGCTTATTTATAACCAGTGGTATAAAAAAACAATAGATGTCTAAGAAGTGTCTTCATCTAGATAGCTAAGTAAACACAAGTATGTGTGTGACAGATTACTAGGATTTCTATACAGCAGCAACTGGAAAGTCTAGTTGCTTTGTCTTGAGTTTAAAAATAAGGTGTAATGTTCAATTGACCTGCTTTTGACTCTACAGGTTCTGGTCGGGACAGGATGGTTCGGGTGGTGTTCCTGCACCCTGATCTGGGTATTGGTGGAGCTGAGCGTCTGGTGGTGGATGCAGCTGTAGCTCTGTGCTCTCGTGGATGCAGCGTTCAGATCTGGACGGCACACTATGATCCCCAGCACTGCTTTTCTGAGACGCTCTCACCTGACCTGCCTGTGGTGTGTGTGGGCGACTGGCTGCCCACCAGCGTGTTCGGTTATTTCCACGCTCTCTGTGCATATCTGCGCATGATCTATGTAACTCTCTATCTTGTGCTCTTTAGTGGGGAGGAGTTCGATGTTGTCTTCTGTGATCAGGTAACTACTAATGCTACTAGCACTAGCTACTAATTATCAGGGTTATTTTTTGGTATTAAAGTATTTATTCATATTTTGTATTATCTATTATTTTTATATTTTCAGTATAAAATTTAATTTAAATTTTTAAATGTAGGTTTTTTTTTTTTTACATGCTTTTGTCTTTTTATTTGTTTTTCATATTTCTATTTAGCTTTAATTTATTTTTATTTAGTAATTTTTTTTTAATGTTTTAGTAATTTTTGGTACTTAAACTTCTTTATTTCAGGTAGTTGCCACAGCAACATTTCATCCAATATTTTATTTTATTTCAGCCTAACAACACTTCTCTTTTTCCAGTGGTGGACTTTAATAAAGCACTGAGAATCATTGGCAAGCATATTATCAAAATTTTGCTCCACTAATGTTCATTGTTAATTTGAACTGAAGGAGATCGCTACAATGCTTCAGAGAAGGTCTAGAAGATATCTAGACCTTCTCTGAAGCATTGTAGCGATCGATCTCCGATGTATGAAAGAATCATTATTTTGATGAACTGAATAGGTTTACAAACTTGAAATGATTTTATTATGTGAGAAGAACGAGATAAGTAATGCATTTTAAATTTACATTTATGCATTTGGTAGATGCTTTTATCCAAAGCAACGCTGAATTGCGAGTGTTAATATTTTTCAATTTATGCATTCCCTGTCAATCAAAACCATAACCTTGGTGTTGCTAGCACCATGCTGTACAGTTTGAGCTACAGAAAAGCCATCAAGAGATATAATATATGACCAGACTATAAAAGATGCCATAGACATTGGTCAAAACAACAGTTTATTAGACCGCACAATGCTGTGATTGACCAGTCAGAATCAAGAGAATCGTTCTCCTCACAACCACAAGGGTTCATTTTGTTTGCTCATCTCCCCCTTCTTTCAGGTTTCAGCATGTATTCCCTTTTTGCGTTTGGCACGCCACAGAAAGAAAGTCCTATTCTACTGTCATTTTCCTGACCAACTACTGACTCAGCGTCACTCGACTCTGAAGCGCATATATCGAGGCCCCATCGACTGGTTCGAGGAACTGACCACAGGCATGGCCGACCGCATTTTGGTCAACAGCCAGTTCACTGCAGGAGTCTTCAAACAGACGTTCCCCAAACTGGCTGAGATTCAAACCGACGTTCTTTATCCCTCTCTGAACTCGTCAGCTTTCGATGTTGAAGTAGAGGGCCTCAGCGGACTGCTCCCTGAGGGGCGGAGCCTCACCTTTCTGTCAATCAACCGCTATGAACGCAAAAAGAACCTGCCATTGGCGCTACAAGCGTTAGCGGCCCTGAAAGAGCGTCTGTCCGCAGGGGAATGGGAGCGCGTGCACCTCGTGATGGCGGGGGGTTACGACGAGCGCGTGGTTGAGAATGTAGAGCACTACGAAGAGTTGCGCTCACTAGCGTCCTCTCTAGGCCTGGAGGACCAAGTCACCTTCCTGCGCTCCTTCTCAGACAAACAAAAACTGTCTTTGCTGCACAGCAGCACTTGTGTACTGTACACTCCAAGCAATGAACATTTTGGCATCGTACCCATTGAGGCCATGTACTCACATTGCCCAGTTATTGCTGTCAACTCAGGTGGACCGCTAGAGTCTGTGGCCCATGGCGAAACAGGCTTCCTTTGCAAACCTACCCCTGAGTGCTTCTCCGAAGCCATGCAGAAGTTTGTTATGGACCCTAAACTCAAGCAGCGTATGGGACTGGCTGGAAGAGAGCGGGTACAGCAGCGCTTCTCGCTGCAGGCCTTCACCGAGCAGCTCTACAGTCACATCATCAACCTTACCCAATAACCAATTATGACATCATAAAGGCCATTCTGCTTCAGATCAGCACACATCGGAAGCATTCTGCCAGTCCGGTTGCCATGGTGGGACTAATGAAAGTATGTCATCTCTAATGAAAGAAAAGAGCAGTGGGAGTTAACATGGCTTAAAAGTTCAATACAAGCCTTGAAGAATGTGGAGCACTCGTCTGACCGAGAGGTTAATGAATGATCGTACACCAGCCACATTGATCAAGCGTATCACGGCATGGCCTGAGTCCTTATATGTGTGTATTTTTTATGCCAAAGGCCTATTAGAGAGTTTCTCAGGCAGAAATCGATAGAGAAGTTTTCTATGCCCTGCTCTGTTCACCAGTGTCTCTGCTTTTGTTTAGTGATGACAATGGAGGGTGTTAAGAGTTATTAAAGTCTCAAACTAAAGATGTTTGTTTGAGTAGAAAAAGAAAACAAGTTTTCCTAGGACACTGAAGGTCATATGCTGTATTGGGTTTGAGGTTGTTACTGACTGTGTATCTCCTCATGCTACAGAAAGAAAGTCCTATTCTACTGTCATTTTCCTGACCAACTACTGACTCAGCGTCACTCGACTCTGAAGCGCATATATCGAGGCCCCATCGACTGGTTCGAGGAACTGACCACAGGCATGGCCGACCGCATTTTGGTCAACAGCCAGTTCACTGCAGGAGTCTTCAAACAGACGTTCCCCAAACTGGCTGAGATTCAAACCGACGTTCTTTATCCCTCTCTGAACTCGTCAGCTTTCGATGTTGAAGTAGAGGGCCTCAGCGGACTGCTCCCTGAGGGGCGGAGCCTCACCTTTCTGTCAATCAACCGCTATGAACGCAAAAAGAACCTGCCATTGGCGCTACAAGCGTTAGCGGCCCTGAAAGAGCGTCTGTCCGCAGGGGAATGGGAGCGCGTGCACCTCGTGATGGCGGGGGGTTACGACGAGCGCGTGGTTGAGAATGTAGAGCACTACGAAGAGTTGCGCTCACTAGCGTCCTCTCTAGGCCTGGAGGACCAAGTCACCTTCCTGCGCTCCTTCTCAGACAAACAAAAACTGTCTTTGCTGCACAGCAGCACTTGTGTACTGTACACTCCAAGCAATGAACATTTTGGCATCGTACCCATTGAGGCCATGTACTCACATTGCCCAGTTATTGCTGTCAACTCAGGTGGACCGCTAGAGTCTGTGGCCCATGGCGAAACAGGCTTCCTTTGCAAACCTACCCCTGAGTGCTTCTCCGAAGCCATGCAGAAGTTTGTTATGGACCCTAAACTCAAGCAGCGTATGGGACTGGCTGGAAGAGAGCGGGTACAGCAGCGCTTCTCGCTGCAGGCCTTCACCGAGCAGCTCTACAGTCACATCATCAACCTTACCCAATAACCAATTATGACATCATAAAGGCCATTCTGCTTCAGATCAGCACACATCGGAAGCATTCTGCCAGTCCGGTTGCCATGGTGGGACTAATGAAAGTATGTCATCTCTAATGAAAGAAAAGAGCAGTGGGAGTTAACATGGCTTAAGAGTTCAATGCAAGCCTTGAAGAATGTGGAGCACCCATCCGACCGAGAGGTTAATGAATTATTGCGCGCCAGCCACATTGATCAAGCGTGTCACGGCGAGGCCTGAGGACCATATATGTGTATATTTTTTTTTATGCCAAAGGCCTATTAGAGAGTTCCTCGGGCAGAAATCGATAGAGAAGTTTTCTGTGCCCTGCTCTGTTTGCCAGTGTCTCTGCTTTTGTTTAGTGATGACAATGGAGGGTGTTAAGAGTTATTAAAGTCTCAAACTAAAGATGTTTGTTTGAGTAGAAAAAGAAAACAAGTTTTCCTAGGACACTGAAGGTCATATGCTGTATTGGGTTTGAGGTTGTTACTGACTGTGTATCTCCTCATGCTATTGATACGAGACCAAAGCCCTGATTAAATGAGATGCTGCTTCGTGCCTGTGTTGTTTGTCTTTGTCTCTTGGAGCTTTTATTTTTGGATATATTGGATATAGGCTGACCTGATAGAACAGTGGCCTGTTTACATTTCCAGAATTAAGAACAGATCACTGTTGTGTTAACATTTCTATTTTAATTTCATTTGACAACCCGTTTTATACTTTGGCTTTGAGCGGAATTTCCCAAAACACCAGTTATAAACCAATTACTGAGTCCTATTCTAACCAAAACTGGCCCGCCAGCAATAATATCTGGCCCGCGCCCGCAGCCAGATTATTTTGATAGCGGCTGGTTCTGAAATTGATCTGTCATGACAGCAACAGTTACTCACAATCGGAGTATGTGAGCGGAGCGCGGAGTGGAGCGGTGTGATTTTGACTGGAGCGAGGAGCGGATTTTTTAAAAGTCGGAGCGTGGTTTTCACTTGCTCCACCACCGCTCCATCACGAGTACAATTCATGCCAACAGCCCGTAATATGACTGCATATTTGGCAAGAAATCACATGTTAAACATATTTAGCTAGCTTGATAGAGAAGGATCTCAAATCAGAAAGAATGTGAGGCTATGATGACGACAATGGACATGAGCGGGAAGTTATAGTTCTCAAGGAATTTGTTTGTTCCTTCTAGATACTGAATATTTTCAGCTGAAAGCATGATTTAAACAAGTACTACAACACTTATTCACACGCAACCGCTCTCTCAATAATACATTCAAACAAATGTAATCTTACAGTGCTAGGCCTACTTCATCTGTATCCGATTTCGAATGAGCAGAAATCTGTAAGAAATGCATCGATCCGTAGGTAAAATAACTGACGAAAACGTACTGTTATTTTCATTACAAACAAAATTCGCACTGCAAAAAGCAGCAATTATAGCCTACCTTCTAATGCTGACTAACCATGTTATTAGCTTGTCGTAGGAAAAATGTTTGAACACTATTGTTCCAATAAGCCACTTTGAAACTCTGCTGTTATTTTATTCATTTTACTTTTTAATATACGTTATGAACAGAACTGTGATATTTCAAACATACTGAAATACTTTAGCCGCAGAGCGGTTTTTTCTGCGAGGAATGGAGCGGGAAATGGTGAACCCGGAGCGGAGTGATAATTAAATGCTCGGAGCGCGGAGGGGAAATTGTTGACGCTCCACTCTGCTCACATACTCTGCCGGACACCACCACACAAATGTGGCTTTTTGTTAATGACTGTCCTCCTACAGGATTTAACACAAGAGTAACAGCTCACTGCCAGTTACAAAAGACACTGTAACAGTCTGTCACAGGCAATTCTAGTTGCATTTTTTATCAATTCATTTCTTAAATTATCCTTTGACTATGTTCTGGCCCGCCATCTGCTGTAATCGTTTACTCAACCTCATGTCATTTCTAAACCGGCATGACTTTCTTTCATCTACAACGCACAAAGATATTTTGAAAAATGTTTCAACTGTTTTTGTGCATACAATGAAATCTTGAGGCCCCCTAGTTGAGAACCACAGCTTTAAACGGCCCGTCCACACATGAATCTCTCAATATCTGCGATAACCTCAGTGCACTTGGGCTCGCATGCTAAATTAATAAGGTGGGTAGGGGGGTGTTTTAAATAGGCTTTAATTCTGTATCGCAGACGGTCAGATGTATTGCCTCGCTAGCGTCACATCCGTTTTGTTGGCAGTTTGGGAGCAGTTTTTGTTGCTTTTCCTCATTAACACTCGATGCGTTAAAGATGAGGACCTTATTTTTAGCCGTGCACTGATTGGGTTTTAATCATACATAAAAAGAGGGGTTATGGGGCCAGCGAACATGTAAATCAAGTGGGCACAATAACAAGGTCAGAATGCACAACCTTCACACCTTCTCACTGTGTTAGAGCTAAAGATATTTGGATATGATTGTTGAATAGGAGAATGGAGGAAAGTTTTAGCTTTCGTAGTGCAGATGTGATGGACATGACCTGTAATTAATTGTTCTCATCAAGCCTGCACTTGAGAATACAATGAGCGAGACATATTGTGCTTCATATTGTTTGCTGCAGTCGCACATGAATTAAACTCTTGTCAATACATTTTCTCCAAACTGGCTCTGAAATGGTGCAGAAAGAGATGCAGATTTCATTCATTTATATTGACAGATATTTGCGTGAGACACATGACACTAATTTTGCAGTTGAGTATTTGCTGACCAATGGTAAATCAGCAGTTGTTTGGTGTAGAATGGTTCGAAAAAGGAAATGGGAATAATATCTTGCCCCCCTGATGCATACACACAGACAGGAATATCTCTTGACTGTTTTGTATGACATATTAGTTTACAACCATTTGTATTCATAGCCCGTCTTTTAGAGTTTTCTTATATGAAACGCTTGCAAATTATGATTTCAGATTTTACGGCTTCAATAAAATATTCCAGCACATTAGCATATATCTGGTGGGGATTATTGGTGTGCTGTGAGGGGTGGGCTTTGATTTACATTTGTGGTATAAAACAAATAAAAATCTTGCTCCGTTTTTTAAAATAGCAATCAATAACATCTCTCCGTGGCAAGTTATGATCAAAATGATAGCCTCAATAAAACCAGTTATTTATCACCAAAGATAAAGAAACATTACGTGTCAAATTTATAATATACAACGGCCCCATGGAGGAAGCTTAGAAAATGTGATTTCTGTGCAATTAAAGACTACTGGTAATTTATAACTAGTGTTATGGATATGACTTACATCAAATATAGAAGGGATCATTTTTATTCAGGTAAAAGTGGCTTTTGGTCGGTTTTATCGGTTTTTGCCTCCTTGTTTTCAGAAAACTGAATTATATATTGAAGGTTTGTTTTTGTTTTTACCTATGCACTGGCAAAATGCTTTGTTAAAAAAAAAAAAATTCACACCTTCTCACTGTGTTAGAGCTAAAGATATTTGGATATGATTGTTGAATAGGAGAATGGAGGAAAGTTTTAGCTTTCGTAGTGCAGATGTGATGGACATGACCTGTAATTAATTGTTCTCATCAAGCCTGCACTTGAGAATACAATGAGCGAGACATATTGTGCTTCATATTGTTTGCTGCAGTCGCACATGAATTAAACTCTTGTCAATACATTTTCTCCAAACTGGCTCTGAAATGGTGCAGAAAGAGATGCAGATTTCATTCATTTATATTGACAGATATTTGCGTGAGACACATGACACTAATTTTGCAGTTGAGTATTTGCTGACCAATGGTAAATCAGCAGTTGTTTGGTGTAGAATGGTTCGAAAAAGGAAATGGGAATAATATCTTGCCCCCCTGATGCATACACACAGACAGGAATATCTCTTGACTGTTTTGTATGACATATTAGTTTACAACCATTTGTATTCATAGCCCGTCTTTTAGAGTTTTCTTATATGAAACGCTTGCAAATTATGATTTCAGATTTTACGGCTTCAATAAAATATTCCAGCACATTAGCATATATCTGGTGGGGATTATTGGTGTGCTGTGAGGGGTGGGTTTTGATTTACATCTGTGGTGTAAAACAAATAAAAATCTTGCTCCGTTTTTAAAATAGCAATCAATAACGTCTCTTCGTGGCAAGTTATGAGCAAAATGATAGCCTCAATAAAACCAATTATTTATCGCTAAAGATAAAGAAATGTTACATGTCAAATTTATAATAGACAACGGCCCCATGCAGGAAGCTTAGAAAATGTAATTTCCATGCAGTTAAAGACTATTGGTATTTCATAACTAGTGTTAGAGAGTATGACTGTTATATCAAATACATCAGGGACCAATGTTATTCAGATAAAAGTGGCTTTGTGGACCATTGAAGCTTTGGATATCATCAGTTTTGGCCTCCTTGTTTTAAGAGATTTGTATTATATATTGAAAGTTTCTTTGTCCTAACCCATGTGAACTGGCAAAATGCTTTAAAAACTTACGTTCATGCTTAAAGCCAGAAAACTGTTTTGCCAATTAGGTAAGAAATAAACTTAATATCTATAATAAATATTATTGAAACAAGAAAAATACCCTTAAGAAACCTATTACAACTTTATTTCCAGATGATATATCTTGAATTAAGTCATTAAATGCAATCTTTAAATGTACTGAGATAAAAAAATAAAAAAAAGAAACAGTAAAAACAATTTGCCAAATTTTAAATAATTTTCAATTGATTTTTAATAAATTTTTTATTGTTTTAAGCAACTATCTTTTTTTTTTAGTTTTAATGCCTAAATCAAGAAAAAAAAAGCCAAATAAATAACAAAAAATAAACCTAATTCTGAAAACAAGCCTTCAGAAAATGTATCTTGTTTGACCCCATGACCCATGCAGGAAGCTTAGAAAATGTTATTTCTATGCCATTAAAGACTATTGATATTTCATATCTAGTGCTATGACAGGAGATAATTTTATTCAGGAAAACACGGCTTTGTTAAACATTGGATATCATTTGAACTATAAACGTTGACCCAAACAAGAACGCAAGACCTTTAACCAACCCCTGCAGTTTTTGCCTCCCTGTCCAGGTGTTTTGCTCTGATGTAGGAGTGCCATGTGTTTATTGAGATGGTGTGTGTGTGTGTGTGTGTGTGTGTGTGGTTTGATATAGAGAACGTGTGGTGGAGATGCTCATTGCCCTCAGTGATCCTGGCTGCTTTCCAGCCCTCAGTTGGCCCTTAATCAGCGAGCTGTCACTCAAACAGAAAGAGTGACACTGGGCATATTCACCAGTCACCTGGGACCCCCGATTAGATGCTCAGCTCCTCGGGCACAAAAACAACTCCCCTCAGAGTCAACCACACACACACTTAGCAAACCAAGCACTGCTCATGCCCATCGACTTCAACTGTCCCACTCTAGAAAGCGTTTAGCTGTATTGCGGCTGTGATTACAGTAAACGCATTTTAATTTGTGCGTTTAGATCCAGTTGTAATCAGGAGGACCGATCGCGTGACGCTGGCAGCGGTTGGCAGAGTGACAGTGATGCCAGCGAGCTCTCG